GGGTCCGGGCTGGGGATTCGAACCCACCACCTTAGGTGTACGTGGCTGGCGCCTTAGCTGGTTGAGCTATAGGCGCCGAGCCCAAGTTTTATTTCCTAATGAACAATAAGGGTGATGGTGTTGGATGTGCAGCTGCAGGTGTGAAGATACAGTGTCACTTTCCAACTGTGGGGCTTCCCTGAGTGACCTTGCAAGAGAAGTCCTTAGGCACAAGCCTAATGGAGAGGTGATCAGGGTGTCTGCCCACTCGGAGCTTTTTGCTCCCACACACCAGGTGAAGACTTTGATTTTAGACTCCATCACCTGTGAAGTGAGTGGACTGAGGTAGTTGATCCTGAAGGTCCTTTCAAGCATGAGGCCCTTGATCCCAGCAAATCAGATGCCAAGCTTGCACCTGCCACACACACACACACCCCCCGGCACCTGGCACAGGCTGCAGAGGTGGCCAAGGTATGGGGAGTGAACTAGACAAGGACTAGCCTGCTCTTCTTTCACCCTTGCAGCTAATTCTTCCAGATAATTCCCTCTGGAGTTCCTAGGTAAATCCCTCAATGAGTGGGTTTAAATCCAAGGCTGAATCGACTTGCTCTGTGAGTAATTTCCTCTGCGTCGGTGGAGGAAGGAAGGGGCAGTCCCAGTTCATCTGCCTCTGCTCCAGCCCAACTCTTGGGGCCTATTTCCTCATCTGAGGGAACAGGGAACTGGTTGGAGTTTATGCCATCCCAGCCAGTTGATACCTAACAGGCGTTCCAACCTCTCTCTCAACTCTGGAGGGCTCACTGGAGCCTCCAGCCTCCCTCCTGCCAGCATGTATCTTGTCAGCAAATAATAGGATGGTGGCTGAACCCAGGGTCGCTCAGCTCTCCAAACACCTCACCTCAAAGGTTTGCTTAAAGTCTTGCTCTCCACATGCCTTGCTTTTCTCCAATGTGCCCTCTATAGTTTCCTTGTAAAGTCTGCAGATGAGACCAGGGAGGCTGGATTTCTTTTAGCCCATGTCCCTCATCTGGGTAGCTAAGGGGGACTTCCATGGTTATGGGTACAAGATGGGGAATGCTTGGTCTAGCTGTGCCTGATACCCCTTGATTTCACATGCATGAGCCTCTGATCAGCCTTGGAGCATGTCCCAGAAGCCTGCCCATCAGGAAGATGTGTCCAGGTGTTGAGTGGCTGCAGAGACCTGAAGTAGGGACAGCCAGAGACTAGGAAGCTGGTTGCACACTGGGGTGATGTGCTAAGCCTCATCCCACTTGCTGACATTTGCTTTATTGCATTAAAGTCTTTCTCTGAAGGGTGAGTAAGTGCTCTAAGTCAGGCATATGAGGATTGCTCATAAGCCGGTGAGTCACTGGAAGGGAGTGAAGCCAAGTGAAGCGCCACGGCTGGAGATGGCTCTGGAACCCTCACTTCACTTAATAGTCTCTTCATTAATTACATCTCCACTTCTGCCAAGGCCAAGTTTATGCTGGCTATCAGTGCCAGATGGGGAATTCAAGCTGATGTTCTGTTGCTTCATTCCCGGGTTTTGAGAAACACCTCTGTTGGTCTCTGGTGTCACCTTTGGTAGGGATATGACTAGGAGAATAGAGATGTTCTCTCCTATTTCCCAGCTGCACCGGTGGGGAGCCCCTATCAAGTCTACTGTAGTTTCTGAGTTGAGCATGATGGGGGCAAGGGTTGTGTGTAGTATGTGGAACCTCAGCCATTGTCCAGAGTGCTGGCAAAACCCGATGTACCCAATGGTCTCCTTCGTGTAAGGATCCTGGGAAAATGTCTCCCCAGTTTCAATATGCTGAACAGCTATACCTCTTGGAGTTGCTGGTGGTTTACCTTCTAAACACCAGAAAGCTCACGACTGCCTGTTTCCCCTCCTTGCACATGCCACCGGGAAGCTCAGAACTAAAGTTCTAGCTCACTTCTGCCAGTTTTTGATAGGAGTTGATGACATGCATTTTTGGTGTTGATACCAACTGTTTCCATTAAATTTTTCCAACTTTATTTTTCTTTTACTTCCATTTCTTTGATGACCTTAAAAAAAACCCAACAAACCTTTTATACCTATTTAATGATTAAAAATGCCCCAATGCATTTATGTAATGAGATGGGGTATAAACACAAACAGAGAAGCCCGTTTATCCTCCGTGGTGTTACTCTACCTCAGTCAGAAGGATTCATCCATTATCTTTTCAGTGAGTCTGCCAAGTTCTGCATTGTTTCTGGAATAGATTCTGTCCAGAACCAAGGCCCGTGGCTGGTGTACTGGTTCTTTGCCTTAGAGTCTCTGGCACTGCTCTCTCCTTTCACTCCTCTGTTCTACTCCTGGTGCCATTCCTTAGGGAGCTGTGGTGCTGATGGTAAAATTGCTCAAGGCTAGATGCAGGCCTTTCTGACCCAACTGGATGGGACTCCCATGTTTAGATAACTATCCCCCTTCCATCTACTTAACACACAGCACCTGCTAGATTCAGGGGACCAAGAGCCATGTGGTCCCACCTCATGGAATTCATGAATACTGATGACCCTTCACTGGGCTTTCTGTTCCAGACTGGAGCTGGCCTCCACAGGTGGATGGATGTCCGCAACCCTGCACGACCCATTCCCCAGCTCCATCCTCTCCCCTCTCTGGGTAGCACCTTCTTGTCCAAGCTCCCTGGTGTGTCAGTCTGTATGGACCTTTCCTCCATAAATTTACCCTTCAACTCAATCCACACCCTGCCTCATCCTTTAGGCCCTCTTGCATTGTTCATTAACATTTTATGCACACCCACTCCCACCCCCAGAGTTCAAAAAGAAGTAAGCCCTTATTGAGCCCTAGACCTTTCTCAGCTATTTGGCTAATATCAAAAGTACTCCATTTACAGAAGCACAAACTGAACCTCAGAGATATAAAGTGGCTTGCCCAAGGTCACACAGCTATTACACATAGTAAACAGTAGAGCCAAAGCAAAGCTATTTCACTGTTTTTTTGTTTTTGTTTTTGTTTTTTACTATAGAGTCTCACTTTGTCACCCTTGTTGCCCGGTGTCACAGCTTACACCAACCTTCAGCTCTTGGGCTTAGGGGATTCTCTTGCCTCAGCCTCCTGAGTAACAGAGACTATAGGCACCTGCTACAACACCTGGCTATTTTTTTTTGTTGCAGTTTGGCTGGGGCAGGGTTGGAACCTGCCACCCTCAGTATATGGGACCCATGCCCTACTCACTGAGCCACAGGCCCTGCCCTATTTCGTTGATTTTTGAGGTATGTTATAGGCACTTCTGTTGGGCCTCAGGGCACATTAAGGAAAAATGTTTGAGGAGAAATCAAATGTCATTGAATGCCCAGTTATACTCCATCCTAGCCACTCTGGCTTTCTGCTCAGGACCTTGGCACACACTGGTCCCTCTGACTAGAAACCTTTCCCTATAAATCTACCCTTCAACTCATTAATTCCTACTGGTCCTTTACTTCTCAATTGAGACTTCACCTTCTCAGGGAAGCTCTCCCAGACTCCCAGACTAAATCAGATGTCCCTATTGGGTCCCTCACAGCACCCTATATATTTTCTTCATATTTCATCAGAGATAAAAAATTATTTATCTGTGATTATTTTATTAATGTCTTCAGACCAGAAGCACCAGGAGGACAGGGAACACTGCATTTCAAGAGTAACCCAGGACAGGGTCTAACTCATCTTAGGTGGTCAGTAAGTATTAGATGAATGAAGGACAAACTGGGAATAAAAATGTGTCAGAACTGGAAGCTGTTCTCTCTCTCTGTCTCAGAGCCCCTTGTACCCTCCTGACTCGTAAACTCCTTTATGGGGAAGCAGATGGGGGCATGCATCTCCATCTGGTAAATCTGCATTGGTAAGATGCATATTTACCAATTCCTCCTCAATCCCAGAGAAAATAGTTGCCCTAGGTTTAATTAATTATGGGTCAGAGTCCATGCCAGGAAGCTGGGTATAGGCTGGGGTGATGTGCTAAGCCTCCTCCCACTTGCTGTCATTGGGTGAACCACCTCACAGGGATGGGGAACCTATAGCCTTCAGATTTCAAGATCATTCCCCCCAATACCCATAGAGACAGAGTCTCACTTTATCGCCCTTGCCCTTGGTAGAGTGCCGTGGCGTCACACAGCTCACAGCAACCTCCAACTCCTAGGCTTAGGCGATTCTCTTGCCTCAGCCTCCCGAGGAGCTGGGACTACAGTTTGGCCAGGGCTGGGTTAAGATTCTTCTTCTTTAAGCACCAAAGAAGGCAGGAAAAGCTTCTTTTTCTGCTGTGCCTCTCCCCCTTTTTTTTTGAGACAGAGCCTCAAGCTGTCCCCCTGGGTAGAGTGCCATGGCATCACAGCTCACAGCAACCTTCAACTCCTGGGCTCAAGCAAGTCTACTGCCTCAGCCTCCCAAGTAGCTGGGACCACAGGCACCCACCACAACGCC